CTAACTCTACTCTATTGTTGTCCTACCACTGCTCTATTGTTGTCCTTACTCTACTCTATTGTCGTTCTAACTCAACTCTAATGTTGTCCTACCTCTACTCTATTGTTGTTCTACCTCTACTCTATTGTTGTCCTACCTCTACTCTATTGTTGTCCTTCCTCTACTATATTGTTGTCCTTCCTCTACTATATTGTTGTCCTAACTCTACTCTATTGTTGTCCTACCTCTACTCTATTGTTGTCCTACCTCTACTCTATTGTTGTCCTTCCTCTACTATATTGTTGTCCTAACTCTACTCTATTGTTGTCCTACCACTACTCTATTGTTGTCCTTACTCTACTCTATTGTCGTTCTAACTCAACTCTAATGTTGTCCTACCTCTACTCTATTGTTGTTCTACCTCTACTCTATTGTTGTCCTACCTCTACTCTATTGTTGTCCTTCCTCTACTATATTGTTGTCCTAACTCTACTCTATTGTTGTCCTACCTCTACTCTATTGTTGTCCTACCTCTACTCTATTATTGTCCTACCTCTACTCTACTGTTGTCCAACATCTACTCTATTGTTGTACTACCTCTACTCTATTGTTGTCCTTCCTCGACACTATTGTTGTCCTAACTCTACTCTATTGGTGTCCTACCACTACTCTATTGTTGTCCTTCCACTACTCTATTGTTGTCCTACCTCTACTCTATTATTGTCCTACCTCTACTCTACTGTTGTCCAACATCTACTCTATTTTTGTACTACCTCTACTCTATTGTTGTCCTTCCTCGACACTATTGTTGTCCTAACTCTACTCTATTGGTGTCCTACCACTACTCTATTGTTGTCCTTACTCTACTCTATTGTCGTTCTAACTCAACTCTAATGTTGTCCTACCTCTACTCTATTGTTGTCCTACCTCTCCTCTATTGTTGTCCAACCTCTACTCTATTGTTGTCCTACCTCTACACTATTGTTGTCCTACCACTACTCTATTGTTGTCCTACCTCTACTCTATTATTGTCCTACCTCTACTCTATTGTTGTCCAAACTCTACTCGATTGTTGACCTAACTCTACTCTATTGTTGTCCTAACTCTACTCTATTGTTGTCCTAACTCTATTTTATTGTTGTCCTAACTCTACTCTATTGTTGTCCTACCCCTACTCTATTGTTCTCCTACCTCTTCTCTATAGTTGTCCAACATCTACTCTATTGTTGTCCTACCTCTACTCTATTGTTATCCTACCTCTACTCTATTGTTGTCCTACCTCAACTCTATTGATGTCCAACATCTACTCTATTGTTGTCCTTCCTCTACACTATTGTTGTCCTAACTCTACTCTATTGTTGTCCTACCATTACTCTATTGTTGTCCTTACTCTACTCTATTGTCGTCCTAACTCTACTCTATTGTTCTCCTACCTCTTCTCTATTGTTGTCCTACCTCTACACTATTGTTCTCCTACCTCTACTCTATTGTTGTCCTACCTCTACTCTATTGTTGTCCTACCACTACTCTATTGTTGTCCAACATCTACTCTATTGTTGTCCTTCCTCTATTCTATTGTCGTCCTTACTCTACTCTATTGTTGTCCTACCTCTACTCTATTGTTGTCCTACCTCTACTCTATTGTTGTCCGACCTCTACACTATTGTTGTCCTTCCACTACTCTATTGTTGTCCTACCTCTACTCTATTGTTGTCCACCATCTACTTTATTGTTGTCCTACCTCTACCCTATTGTTGTCCTACCTCTACTCTATTGTTGTCCTAACTCTACTTTATTGTTGTCCTACCTCTACTCTATTGTTCTCCGACCTCTACTCTATTGTTCTCCTACCTCTACTCTATTGTTGTCCTACCACTACTCTATTGTTGTCCTTCCACTACTCTATTGTTGTCCTACCTCTACTCTATTGTTGTCCACCATCTACTTTATTGTTGTCCTACCTCTACTCTAATGTTGTCCTACCTCTACTCTATTGTTGTCCTAACTCAAATCTATTGTCGTCCTTACTATACTCTATTGTCGTCCTTACTCTACTCTATTGTTGTCCTACCTCTATTCTATTGTTGTCCTAACTCAACTATGTTGTTGTCCTAACTCAACTCTTTTGTTGTCCTACCTCTACTCTATTGTTGTCCTACCTCTACTCGATTGCTGTCCGTAGTTCTACAGCCTCTGGACCCTTTCGTCCTTGATCTGCGTATGAATTTAATCACTTTTAAACTCCACTAATAATGGTTGTGTTTGTAGTGAAAATAGTCGTCACTAATCGGTGATTATGAGCAATGTTGTCCGCTCCTTTGCACAACACGCCAATTACACAATTAAAACATTTCCTAAGCAATCAACCACCAGGAGGCGCATCCTCTGTGTTTCGTAACAACCTTTTCTTTCTCTGTCTCGTGCCGTGATGCAAGACATGCCATTCGTCAATCGTTACAAACTTTCTCCGTTATTGGCGATACGTTTGCCTGTATTTTTATCTCGTTGGCGCTATTGATTTTGCCGGTATAAATATACTACGGGCGCTACTAACTCCGACACAGATTCGCATACGTTAGATGAGCTACCTAATTCGCAAGGATGGATATGTGTAATTTTTGCAATTATCTCATCTTTAAGAAGCTCGTTACTTCTGCTGCAGAAAATTGAAAGTTTAAATAATTTAAAGATCAGTTATGCTCAAAACGAGGTCCTTGTTTCGACGATCGATTTCTGATTAAGGAAGCCTATAAATTTTGAGTCGGGTTCGGTATAATCGATTTCGGAGTGGCTCGTTGGCACGTCGAAGTGTCTAATAAGGGGAAAAGGTCAGAAATTATAACGTAATAAATCCGGACTGGGTCCAAGGCGAGATTAGAATACTCAGAAAGTGCACGTGTTAAACGCGTGCGTGTGACGTAGAAAACAAAATGATTTAATCATATTTTGTGTAATATACTGTGATGCACGGTTCACACGTTGCGAACTCCGGGAACCTGCCAAAGAATGTCCATCAATGGTAATTACTATGTAACACGATCACAAAACCTCGCACGGGAAAAACTTAACAGGTAAAATAAACAGCACCGTAAAAGTTTAATGTAAAAGTGCATGAAAAAAAAATAGTGGTTCTTCATGTTATTTTTGCAAAGGGTAATAAGCCACACGTGTGTTAAAAGAAAACAGAAATTAGTTTCGTCGACGTTTTACTTAAAACATGTAATGAGTGGTTCTCGTTGTAAGTAGCGTTATATTTGAGACTGCTTTGCAGATGGTCTTCCGTCTCCGAGTCTTTCTATTAATTTATCCTCAACCTGGTATCTGTTATCCCATGGTTAAAAATAATTCTACACATTTTGACAAAAGTACACTTATACCAGTAGACCGTCCGGTGCCAACTACTTAACATTCTAACACTGGTATAAGTCTAAAATGTCTGCATTTCCAATACCATCACCGATTGTACAGATAGATGCTGGAGACTCGCCTTTCCTCGGATCCCGCAAGCTCCCTTCCCTGTAATAAATTTTCATCAAAGACGATTCTAACATCAGGGTAGGTATCGGTCTCGTCCTCCCGCCTTTATCGATCCGGATTCCCCACGAGACTCAAATCGATTGGGACTACCTGCAGGGTCCAATTTATTTATATAATTCACTGCTTTCCGATTTTTATCACAGGAATTTGATACGACTCTCACGCGCATGTTTTATAATCGTATTCAATTTAAACGATGTCAACACATCTTAATTTACCAATGACGAAATAAGTGCACGGAAAACAGTAGAACCGATTTGTGGTTTAGATCAAATTGATGCTTCCGGGTAATTATTTATACAATTGTAGTAAAATAGTGTTGACAGCTATACTGCTTACGTCCCATTTAGTCAAAATTATCTGGGACGTTCACAAAACGCATTTCTAGAATGATATGAAATGTGTTTATTGTTTTCGTCCTTTTTCTTGTCCGGGACAGGAAAAACTCCAGCTGGTCAGTTTAATACTAGATTAAATATACAGAGATAAATCGTATATGACTTTTATATCGAGATTTTAGTTACGTGTGATGTTTTCCTGGGGAGATGTAGAGCTAACATGACCTTGACTATGGAGGCGGACGCTCGCCTGTAATCCCTCACAACAATTTCTAAGCTAGACCGGCCTAGCACACGACACGAGAGGACCGGCTCTCTTTGATGTCGGTGACATAAGTAAATGCATTTGTTGTAATATTGATCAGGATATGTATTTGATATCTCCGCTTTTTTGTATTGGTAAGAAAAAGGAAATTCAAAACTGACCCTGGCTTATAAAAAAAAAGTGTAGTTAGGCTTACCTCGGAGAAGTTGTGATCGAAACTGCTATTAACCGGATATCCGTGTACATTATTGGACAAAGTGCATGTTATCCAGGAATTTCTTTTCGGAAGTTATCGTTTTCCAGTTCCCAAAGAAGAATGCAAATTTAGAAATAAATTTGGTTCTGTTTTCATTGATGAAAATAGTAAACTGCTGTGCAAATAACATTTTTTTACTGGCTTATCTGTGTGTTTAAAAGTCTCCTCAAATGGCAGCACCAGTTCCAGTAGAGATATTTGATATGTCGCCACCAGTGGCAGAACCTTCAGTATGGGAACTGTGATAATCCGCCACCACAAATAGTGGCAGCACCGTCAGTATGGGTACTGTGATAATCCGCCATCAATAGTGGCAGCACCGTCAGTATAGGTACTGTGGTAAGTAGCCAACAGTGGCAGCACCGTCAGTATGGGTACTGTGGTAAGTAGCCACCCGTGGCAGAACCTTCAGTATGGGTACTGTGGTAAGTAGCCAACAGTGGCAGCACCGGCAGTATGGGTACTGTGGTAAGAAGCCACCAGTGGCAGCACCGTCAGTATGGGTACTGTGGTAAGTAGCCACCAGTGGCAGCACCGTCAGTATGGGTACTTTGATAAGTAGCCACCAGTGGCAGCACGTCAGTATGGGTACTTTGATAATTAGCCACCAGTGGCAGCACCGTCATTATGGGTCCTTTGATAAGTAGCCACCAGTGGCAGCACCGTCATTATGGGTCCTTTGATAAGTCGCCACCAGTGGCAGCACCGTCAGTATCAGTATGGGTACTGTGATAAGTCGCCACCAGTGGCAGCACCGACAGTATGGGTATTGTGATAAATCGCTACCAGTGGCATCTTCAGCCTCGGTATGATTCCCAGGACTGCCTTCATTGCTGAGACTCTCATCGACCCCCGTTGTATCGGAGAGAAACACACGAGGGTAATTACTAAAACAGGGGGAACTGGGGAAAAAGAAATATTGAAATACACCATACAATGTCATTGAAGAGGGTGATGGCTTCTTCTGCTTGGCAGGCAGGCTCTTATCAGAGACAGGCAGAGGGCCTCAGCGCAGAACAAATTACAAACTTAAATTTGGTGAAGTAAAGAAATTGGGGTTATCATGGCTTGCGATAAATTAACGTTCCAAATATTGCGTAATTTCAACTCTAGCGAGACATATCACCACCAAATTAAGGTTTTCTCTCGGAGAAAATCACAGTTCTTAGTAAATTAGACCAATAAATTCCGAGGGAGTTATCTAAACATTACCAACTAGCTTTAAATCGTAAATGGATCAAGGCTTTCTTTACAATCATTTGAAAAATTGACATCTATTCCTCACCGCTTGGTTCTCTGGTAGAACATCATTACTTCAACGTAATCTAGGGGTCCTCGCTAGTCGAAGGAAACGGGCGTATAATGGGATGAATTTAATCTAAAAAAAACGACTGGTTTCCAGTACAAAACCATATTTTAGAAACAGTGGGTCTAAATTAAAGTCTTGGTAACCGGAAGTGATATAATTATAAAGCAACATCTGATTTAAAATATTCTACATCATTTAACATCTCCATACAAAAACGAAGCTCGTCGTAATGGGTTAATAGTCATCACATCTGTAACCGGAAGTCATGTGATACCTTCAATGTAGTGTGTGTCCGATCTAACTGTTAATGGAGTAGATAGGAAGGGGACATCGCCATTAACATGCCTTTGGAAATGGACAGGTCTGTTCTCAGAAAGTGATGTGTTGCCTTCACCGGAAGTGACGACATAGCGACAGAAAAAAATGAAGCATTAACTTTTAAACAAACACAATGGGGTTTTATGAAAGCTGCAAACCACTTAGAATAAATAAGATATGATAATAAAACAAGTTTTAAGATCGTAGAAGATATTTCTTTGCATATTTTACATTGGATGTATTTGATACATACTTCCCAAGCTGTACACATGATATCGTGTCATACGACGTGTACTCGCGTGTTATTTGTGATAAGGGTGGAGAACTCGGGGAACAATATCCTGACTTTGGTCACCATACAGGCAATAACAACACGATTGTCACCTCTTCGACACGATTTTTGTCAGATTTACTTATAATGACCGTTCAACAGCAGTTTAAACGGCTCATTCCCCGAACACCAACTCTGGAGAATTGAAAGGAAGGTGTTTATACAGGAAATCCTTCGAAGTTTAGTTATAGCCTGTTTCAACTAAGAATGTCAACTCATTTTGTAGATATGATACTATGGTCAATAATAAAATGGATAAAAAAAAAAAAATTCTACATATAACTGTAATACACATTTAACACAGAACTAAGTAATAGAAAATAATCATTAAGTATTATTTTTTACATTATATGAAAACGAAAAATAACATTACATTATATGAAAAATAAAATTCCTTAATTTAAGCCACATTGATACTAATGTCAGCAATAAAATACAGTTTCTATTCCTACATATAACAGTAATACACATTTAATACAGCACTAAAAGATAGCCATTATTAAACACAAATATAAACAGTAAACCTTTCTGGAGCTAAAGTCGATGAAGAATTTTGCATGAATCATGATGATTTTAGTTGGAATGGATTTTTGGAATTCAGAAGTTTTGCCAAAAAGTATAAAATCTTCCTTTATTTCGAATGTTTGGTCAGTTTTTAAGTATATCCATCTACGTATGTCTTGCCAGAAGTTATTTGTTATTTGACACTGTTAAAAAAAATGTTCTATAGTTTGTTTGCTTTCTTGGCATAAATAACATAAATCACATTGTTTGATTCCAATTATTTTCAAATAATGATTAAGTGGAAGTATTCTTGAAAGAAGCCTGAAAGTGACCCATTGAATGCTAGTTTTAAGTCCATATATAAAGTTTTCCAAATCAATCATTTTGAGTACACCCTCACTATAGTCTTGAACAATTGTTGAGCGTTTTATTCTATCAATTGGTGATTGCCAGACATTTTTTTATTGTTTTTTGTTCAATGATTGAATTATGTCTTTACTTGGAGTAGGGAGAGATATAAACAGGTGATTCATTTTTGCAATGATAAGAGATTTAGGAACAGTTATTCTCCTTAGAGGTGTTAAAATTCTTCTTGAACCCCATTGATGTAACTTGCCATCTATAATACTAATAATTTTGTTGAAATTTACAGGAACCATGTCTTCTATATTGACAGAGAAATCAATCCCAAGTAAGGTAAATTTGATTGTTCCCCATTTTAGTTTTTTTCAGTATTTGCTTTTAACCCTGATATTTTAGCATATTTATATCATATACAGATTTTGTGCCATTCAAAATAACGGATATGTCATCAACGAACTGTGAGAGCCCGTGTTCTTTGATATTTATGTTTATGCCCTAAAGTTTTTATTGTTTTTTACTAATATTTCAACTACCAAAAGAAATAAGCAAGATGATACCGGATCCCCTTGTCTACAGACCCTTTTTATGTCTACAAAGTTGGGTTAAAAAAACATTCTGTATGATAGCCGAGGAAGTATTTGTATTAAAACATAACAGATAATAATATAAAACTGAAGTCACACAAGTTAAACATAATTCATAGAAATCTGAAAATAAGTACAAGTTTAACTAATATATCATAATAAATATATGACTTATTCTGAAAACTGTTCTAAATATAATTATTATTTTGCAATTATTAGCAGTTATTGATGATCCTATTAGAAGTTGATTTACCTGTACAATTTACCTGTACACCATTTCTACAATAGACTATAACTCACTATCATCACAACTGGCCACCTATGTAAACATGTGATTTTAAGCAGAGTTGGTGTTCGGGGAAGACCCCGTTTAAACCATCTGATATACCCTGAGACAATGCTACAGGGTAATTTGTAACGTAACATGTCCTTCGCGAGCTGCCGTCACTCGACCCCCTACGGAATTGCGTAATCTTAATTACTCGAGTCAAACACGTTCCGTCAAACACGTCAGATCACATACATACACATACCTACATATACTTATTTCAGATCTTTTAAGAAACTTTTTTTATATGTTTTCATGACAAGAGTAAATCCATTCGGAAAGTTTATTTTTTATTTTTGTTTGTATACTTTTCTCATATCGGAAACAAAAAAATATTTTCATGTTTATAACGTGGGACCATAATAAATGTCTGCCTTGCATGTTTGTTACATGTAGGAAACCTCCATGATAACGTTTTAGATTCTACGGATGTTACTTTGCGACAATTATCCTCCATAACAATTTCATCAAACAGCAAAAGATTTCATCAAAGAAAACTGAAATAACCTATTTGAACTCTGTGGCACGTAACGAAAGCCAGGAATTTACCACATACGACACTTGGTAAGTGGAAGTTATCCCCCTTAGTACGCATTGCTATATTCACTGTGTCCACGCTTATATTTACTGCCTGGTATCACGATATATCATAGACGAGTAATAATCCTTAGAATCGTTTGATTACCGAGTCGTCAGCTACTATGTAAGTTGCTTTTTGTTTTAACAAATGCATATGTTTATATCTAATTATTTGCAACCAAAAAAATGGCGAACAAGAATGCAATAGAGAGGTATATATCTACTGGATGTATTTTCTATTAGTTTGGGTAGAACACAGTCCACATTGAAATCGTCGAGATGAAAACAAACACGTGCATTAGATATAGAGCCCATACACAATGTATAGTATATCATCTCACATCGTTAAATCCATGTCTGCCTGAGTGATCTCTGCTGAATCAAGGTTCGCCTTAATATCACAGTCTGTAACTAATGACTCAAAGTAAATAGAGTTTCAATCACACGTCCAAGCTTACTTCGAACTGTCCGTGGAACCGTGTAGCCGACATATATAGGATTGTATATTTCATAGCACTGCCAAGCAAGGAAAACATGCTCAGTAACTTAAAAAGGTGACCGTTCAGAAGAAAATAGATGTGAACTACACGTAATCGGTACCGATATTGAGCGTCAAGGTGACCAGTGTCCAGGATACGTGGTACAGTCGCCGTTATCTTCAGACCAGACACATCCGTTCATTTAATTCTAATTCAAATATTTTGATATGAAGGAGTCACCTGGAATAAGATGACTTTATAAATACATATTGAAATGTATTTCAATAAATTCTTTGAAGAATGTATGCACTGGTTTTTAATTTCAAGTACATATCGAATTTCCCTATGTATGCCTTTCAGGTGTATGTCACGCATCAAAGGCGCTATCGATTTCATCAACTATGCTGCGTACCCGCTTCGTGAGAAAGATGTGTTTTCTTTTTATTAGGGACTTATTGACTTTACATCACGGCAGTATAGATTCTTTTAAGTATAAATTTAACAGTTAATTAAGGTTTTACACACACTTTCCGTTTCAGGTGTGATAATGTATACCTGCGATATTTTTCATGTGTTACAAACCGGAAATGAGAATAAGCGTATAGAAACATGCCGGGGTGTTATCACAACTTGAAAGCCTGCGTCCCTGATACATGTCGGGACACGTCCCAGCCCCTCTGTTTGGCGGGGACACAGTAAACAGGTGTAGCTTGTTAAGTGGGTAGCATGGCAGTAGAGTAACATCACCGCGGTATTTATACATGTCACTCACTCCACAGACTAAACACATCAATACGACAAGGATCCTCTCCCGACCTTAAAGCGACATGGTCAGAGCAAGAGGTAATACCGTTTCTAAACACTTTAGTAACATTATTTGTACGTAGGTAGACAATTTATTCATAGTCACATTTTTATAAAACTAATACTATCTATATGTGTGAACATAATCCATGCAAAGTAACAATAGTTATAAGTAACAACATCTAAATTGCAACAATATGTATTGGAACACAGTAACAAGATGCAAAGTTAGTAACAAGATCCATACATAGTAACACGATTTATACCTAGTTACAATAAGTATACATGTTAACAAGAATGATA